ACATAATCTAATGCATCAATCTACAGAAAGATCATTTATTCGTATTTTAGTTTATAATGTTATAATATTATCGAATAGTTGTTCTAATTTTCCATATTTTCGCTTCTTTCAAAAAAAAGTGGGAGGGTGCGCACTCCGTGATCGCCACATCCCTGGATCACAGAAAGAGTAGGGGTAAGAGAGCAAAAGAGAAAGTAGTCTCAACGGGTGCAGAAGAGAGACAAAAACAACAAAATCTGCTTAAAAAAAGCATAAACAAACGAGCAGGTTGAAAGCAAGTAAAGAAAAAGCAGCGCTGAACTCTCAGTGAGAGAAAACTGAGCTAACTTAGCACAGAGTGCTCAAATAAGCTTAGTTTAGCTGGAATAATTTGATTCTAGCTAAAAGAAGCTTTATCTTGTCACAAATCAGCGCAAAAATATCGATATTTACTCAAAAAAAACAACCAAGCAAGGACGTTCTTTATTTTCTGATCATTAGGCTATATTCACAGTACACAACTTAAGTGTGTCTTAAGGATACTGATTGGATGAAAATTTAAGTTACACTTAAGGCGCTTAACTTATTGTATGCCCAAGTGTATTGAGTGGGTAACGAGGTCGCTACGAGCCATACATATGATGTGTTTTAGTTTGGACTGATTTATGTGACATTTGAATTAAATAAGTTTGTTCTATTATGTGAAGCATAGTACCAGTTGATAATAGAAAAGTGACACATTTGCACTGCTGAGCGAATGACAATTGCTTACAATAAGATGGCGTATCTGAAAGTTTCATTGGCGGCTTAACTTTATAGTATGAACGCTTTCTCAAATTATAAGACAGACTTAGTGTAGAACGGAAAAATTGTAGTGTGAACATGGTCTTAATCGCTTGCCTATGGGCGTCTGTCTCAGATCGACCAGTAGAAAACCAGAAGCAAAAGTTAAAAACAAATAATTATCGAAAGACATTGTACGGCGCTTATATGATAGTGCAATTCTTGGGTTTTTGTGACTGGTTCTTGAGAAAAAGTGAAAATAAACATGAATTACACTATAAGACAGTGTACAAACATGGATTTAGAATGCACTTTTTACAAAACGGCGTAAGAACGAGGTGTATACCGTCTTCGTTACGGTATCGTACACGGCACTCCGTAAACGTTCCCATATTTCATCGTAAAGATACTGTAAACGGATGTTCGTATACGATAACTCGTAAATACACCGTTTTTTAATCGTTTACTGCTGTTTACGGACCGTTGTGTCCGACCTGGATAGTCGTGATTGAGGACCGAATGTAAGAAAAGTGTTTTAAAACGAATCCCAGTCAATAATCTTTGGTCAATGAAGAACGCTATAATATAATGCATTATGCTCTATAAAAACCTTCTGAGCTACACTTTATCGTCATTTATATAAGAAGGGATAGTACATGTGAACGATCATACCTTTATGACGCAATTCAGTATATTATTCCAACTCAGAAATGAAAGATAGAGTAAGGATCTTTCAATCAAGGATTCTTATTCTTATCACGATAAACATACATAGTCTAGTTAATTGGTTTTATTTTTGGTTAATACAAGTGCCTAAAAATAAGTTACATTTATCGATTCAGTTTATGTTATGTTTTCATTTTAATTTTTGCAAGTTCGCACTTTAAGTCCGCCGTTGAGCTAAACACAAGAAGAGAAAAAAAAATCGCTGCGAGCAGGATTCGAACCTGCGCGGGAAGATCCCATTTGATTTCGAGTCAAACGCCTTAACCACTCGGCCATCACAGCACGCATGCTTTTGTTGATTGTAATCTTATTAAACATGCAGTTGCAGCTGCGGCACAATTATAAAATACGATCATTAAATTAGTCAACCCCTTATGGAGAGATTATCTTTTTTTGTTATATGTGCCCTTTACGAAAGTCCTCAAAATACAGATCATATCAACTTAATTAAGTAACTCTACAGATGTTCCTTACATCTGTTGAGAATCCTACTTTAAAACTTCAGCAAGACTAGTTTTTTCATGATGGTTGCGATCATATCATCAAGTGCAGGCAGTCGAATAAACACTGCTCAAACTGAGATGTTCTTGATGCACTTCATACGAGAGTTCCATCGAACTATTCTCATATTTTTTATATGGTTTAACTCGATAGTGCTTGCTTTATAAATATTGTAGAACAAAGTGTTCAGGAGAATTCTTAAGTGCTCGACATAACTAAGTCTAGACTTAAGGATTTTTATGAAACACCCTCCAGGTCTCATTTACGACACTTTTCTCCTCAGGGACAATAAGATCTTACAAGATCTTGATGATGATATATTGCTTTATTTCAATTTACAAGCCACCGTGTGTCAGATTTTGGTGGTCTACCGCAAGCTAAAGCTTTCATCTCGATGCATTTCGTAGTCAAGTTTAACTGTTTTATGTTGAATGTATTTTTCGAATATTTCTTGGTAGTGATAGGAGACTTTGTCAATAAGACGCCCGGGTCATTAATTATTTTAAAATTATTAAAGTACCGTATTTCGTCATTTCATGCATCAAACCAGCAGTAAATTGAACGAAATAAACTTCTATTTGTTGCTTCGAGACTATTTTTTGATGTATTTGACAAAAATGACTCAAAGCTGCATATATGCATTAAAAGTTAATTTCCGTGCTTTGAGGCATGAAATTTTTGATCTTGAAATATATTTTATTTATATTTTTTCCGGTGTCTTTACCTTTTTGTGTTTTTATTTTGTACAAATTTTGTTTGTTTTAGTTGGTATATACACTAAAAAGTTTCTATCAGTTTGATGATAGCGTTATAGAACATGCTTAGAACTTCGTCTATGTTGCATACTTACAGTTGAAGTTCAATTACTTATTTTGATAGAGGTAAACTAACTGTTTATTTTTTAATAAAATCTGATTCATTTTTGTGATAAACTAATTCATGTTTTTTCTCCTATGCATATGATAATCTCTATTTTTTTGTATTTCGTCTAAAACAACTGCATTGTTAAGACAAACTTAAGCTAAAACGATGTAAGTTCGGCACTTGATGATGAAACATCAAGAATTAAGTCGAGCTTTAATTAAGATTAAGCCGAAAGCTGAATTCTCACTCAAGCTTAAGAGTCACCGAAGAGACTGATAAAACTCTCAGATTCTCTGGTTTGAAGATCTCTGGGGGGCTTTTCGGATCTAGCATTCAGCACAGTAGCGTTATAGTCGTTGTTCAATGAATGGTGAAATCTACAATCATTCGAATTCAAGAACTGGAACATAAAGTAACATAAGAAAGAAAACTCGCTGTTTTCCTTTAGCTCCAAGTAGAGACTATTTACGCCAGTTCACATTGACCCTGGCTCCTTGGAGTCACTATTTGGGAAAAGGAAATAACGAAGAAAACTTCGGCAGATCATTCTCATTCTTCTATTTCCGATCTTGGGAAAGTCTGGCCGTTCTTGTCGTTGTGTTCTTGTTTTCGGTCTAATCTAATCGCAAAGTTAATTATTTAAAAATTCATAACATTACGCTGGCCAAAAAAGATGTGGGACTACCACGAATCCTTAGTAGGAAACTTACTCGAACCTTGTTAAGATCTTAGTTAGATCTTACCAAAATATAGTTTACTTTATCTAAGTTTTTTGTAAGGTCCGGTAAGAATCTTTTAAGATCATTATCATATTTTATAATAAGATTGATTCGAGATTACTAAGAGTCGTTCAATATCTTGTCCAACTGCTGACAAATTTCTGTTAAATAGTAAAATTCTAATTTGAGTTTGCTTCCCTGTATAGTTAAAAACTGCAGTCGAACAAACTCGAAGAATGAAGAGAAATTTCGTATTTTTAGACGTTCATTGCTGGATGTTGATTTGGAGTGTACATTCTTTGAAAAACTGTTGAATGTTTTCAAGAGAGTAAGTACGAGCAGAATCTTGAAGAAAACTGACATAGTAAAATTCAGTCAAATTTCGATGTTATTTATATAGATGCATGAGAGCAAAACAAAAATGATGAACGGAAGTAGAAACATCAGACCAAATGTAAATCTCAAATAAGAACTTGCACGATCTTAGTACGATCATTTTAAAAACTGTCTAAGCTTTTGACTAGAGGTACATCTACACTTGGACTTGTTATACAAGATGATGTGTTTTTGTTTTAGATTGAAAGAAATCTGTTATGATACTTTTTACAGTAGGCGCTGTTTTGGATTTTGTATGTTACATGGTTATCGACAATGTGACAAAATATCTGTTGACGTGCAGCAGGTAAATCTAGTATGCTGTTATTCAATATTGTATTTTAAAATGTCTATTTTTCTTAAAATCTTTCAGTAAACAAAATCGATTTGAGATATTGATGTTTGAATGTGTTATACTCAGCTTTGTTTGTGTGTTCACGTGCATCTATCACCATATACCCGTTGTACTTTTTCTATTTTTACTTATTCAACTCACTGGTACATTGTATATGGAAAACAAATTGCATACAATTTGGCCATATTTGAAAACATGGATAAAAAATATTTTACGTATTTCACATATAGGTTTTTCGGCGTTACTCACATTAATAAAAAAAACTTTACAAAACTTAGCATGTTATATGCAACGTTCTTCAATATCTTTAACAAAAACAAAACAACTAGTCGATCGCAACAATGATTTCTTTTCTCAAACACGTCCTTCTTATACGCTAGCAAGTAGAAAAAATAATGATCTAACAATTTATCACGAAATAACGACAAAAAAACCTATGAATGCCAATGCGTTACAAGTAAAACTATTCTTCTTTTGCATTTTCTCTTAATTATAAGAAAAATTACTATTTTAGACTTCTCAGGACATTTTCTCACATCGTCGATTAGGAACATATAACATTGATGGAAGAACATGTTCATTGAACTCATTACTGCAAGCATTAGCATCAGTGAATGGTTTTGTTGATTTATTAAAGAGTAATGGCAAAGTAAGTAGATACAATAGTTTATAAAACAGAATATTTTCCACGGATATATTACTCTTATATTACAAGTTTATATTATAAAAATATTTTTGTTCAATTAGTCGAATGGACGTAGACTATTTAACTATCACTTGAAACAATTTTGTTTATTCTTTTTAGGCTGTAAAACCCGAATGTGACGCACTTTTTACAACATTTATTGAATTAATTGTATCGTTACGAAACGAACATTCGGCAAAAAAAAATCATACAATAGACACATCATTGTTTTTCAATTTATTATGTTTAAATCGTCCAGATGTATTCGCTAAAAATTTAAATATAGATATATGCGAATTGTTTCAAATTATGATTGATATTTTTAATAACGCAACAGCTAGAAAACAAGTAACATACTCATCGAAGTAAGAAAAGAATGTTTATAGATGTGACAAAGGTTTATTTTATATTTGTTTCTTTTTCCTATTAAGTGTTGCTGAACAAGTTCAAACTAAAACATTTCTCAATTATTCATTTGAATATTTGAATAAGATATTTTCTCAAATTGAGTCACAGGTATTGAAAATGACAATTATAATCATTTTATTTGAAAAAATTTATTTGCATGCTGAATTTGTGCTGTAGAGCTTAGAGTTAAATGCTGATTTGATAGATGTTCGAATTTTAATATAAATTTTTTTCGTTTTAGTTATGCTATGCAACGAGAACAAATCTTGGCACATTGACAAATTCTGTTATGCAATATATTGATTTAACATGGTTGATGCATCATAATCAAATAAATTCAACGTTCAAAGAAACATTTTCTGGACAATTTCTTCATTCGAATGCTTGTGAAAAGTCCGTATTATTATCGATTGATATGTTAGACTATTTTCCTTTTTTTCTTGTGTTTTAGTTGTTTTATTGTTCGATTTCGTTCAGAAGCATTTACGGTCTTACCCTTGTCATTAAATTTGAATAATAGTTCAAACGTTATTGGGGAGACATATACAATTCAACAAATATTTGCAAACTTAAGAACTGTTGAAACAGTTCAATCAACTTCATGCTCGAATTGTGTAAAATCAATGGGTGAAGGAAACCATACACAAACATTTATGTCACAGTTAACGTGAGTTTGTTTTCTATCGTATACTAATTATGATGTGTTTTCTTTTTATTTATTTCTAGGACAACATTCTCACCTATTAGAACATTTGATCAACCAACGAATCGTTTATTTTCATCAACACCAAAACAAGGTATGTTTAATACGCGTCGTCTCGCTACTATCTTATTATATTCTAATTATTTTAGCATCTATTCCACAACGTTCATTTTATATGAAAAAGCAAACAACTATAGCTAATTATCCAAATGTATTGTGCGTTCAACTACTTCGATTTCGCTTTGATAAAGTTTCCCAAAGAACAGTGAAATTATCTACACGTGTTATAATCGAACCGGAACAACGATTAGATTTATCATCATTGCATCCTCTCAAAGGATATATCAAAACGACAACACCAACGTTTAATTATCGTTTAATTGCCATATGTTTACATATATCATCACAAAACAGAACATCATCCTATTTTAGTGACAGTCTTAATTTGCGTACCAGAGCAAATAGGGATGGACATTACGTGTGTATTTATCGTTCAGACGGGGTAAACTCGACAAATTGGTATCTCAGTGATGACGAAAAAATTTTAGAAATACCTTTAACTGAAAACTTTTTCAAATCAACGTATGTAACAGAAAATTGTTATTTATTATTCTATCAACGACAATAAAAATTTATATTTTTTCCGGTGTCTTTACCTTTTTGTGTTTTTATTTTGTACAAATTTTGTTTGTTTTAGTTGGTATATACACTAAAAAGTTTCTATCAGTTTGATGATAGCGTTATAGAACATGCTTAGAACTTCGTCTATGTTGCATACTTACAGTTGAAGTTCAATTACTTATTTTGATAGAGGTAAACTAACTGTTTATTTTTTAATAAAATCTGATTCATTTTTGTGATAAACTAATTCATGTTTTTTCTCCTATGCATATGGTAATCTCTATTTTTTTGTATTTAGTTCAAACAACTATGTTGTTACACTTTTTCTCTTGTCATAGACTGTTTCTGTCTGCATATGCTGGTCTTATAGAAACTATTTTTCTTAGATTTGTTATTCAATATATATTTCAGACTCTAGTATGTAGATTCCTCTAAACGTCGGTTTTCTTCTGTTTAATTCTTGCATTCTTAATAAAATTTTGTTTCTATGCAAATCAGAAGAAAAGAAACACGATTTTATATTTATTTTTCATTTAAAGTGCATTAAACAGGCTCATTCTTGTGATTTAAAGTGGCATTGTCATTCATTATTGACACGATGAATATCCTGCACGTTATATTAAAAAATTGTTCTTTTTCTCCTTTATCAGAGATTAAGCTCGACATTTCTGATGTGTTTAAAGCCATAAACAGCTTAAAAAATAAAACTTCTTTAGGTCTCGATCGGATTCCTATAAAACTGCTGAGGCTCTATCTTGGTATAATTTCTCTTCAATTGTATCATATTTTCTCTCTCTCTCTTTCAATCGGTGTGTTTCCTTCTGCGTGGAAAGAAGCTATTATACGTGCAATACATAAGAAAGAAAGTAAATTACTCGTCAAAAATTATCATCTGAAAACTTTCCTAACTCAACGCAGTTTGGATTACGCTCAAATATTTCAACCATAGATGCTCTTCGTCTTCTCACTCAAAAGGTTTTCCAGCATTTGGAATAAAGAACAAATTCATTGGCGTCTCATTTGAAAGGGCTTTCGACACTGTACCACATTATATTCTTCTACAAAAACTGTCTAGATCCGGAAGCCTTTTAAAATTGTTCTCTTATCTTTTGAATGGTACACAAAAAGTCATTGCTGACTCTGCTTTTTCTTGTGTTTGTATGACGTCTGGAGTAGAGGTGGAACCGGTTCGGTTTGGAGTTTTTCGTAAATTGATTGTGTTCAGTCGGTTTGAGAAAGTTTCGGTTCGATGATCAAAGGAAGGTACCATAGTCAAAAGCATGTGCAAGAATAAGTATCGTACGTATACAAACATATGTGCGCAAAATGCCGAAACTTTGCTCAGATGAAGACTTTTGCACAATTCTCTTTTTATTTAAATAAGTTGTTGCGATTCTACCAGATCTCCGTATCGAGTGGACTGCGCTGCAAATTTTTTGAGCTCATGGACTCGGACTGGACTAGACTCAAACTTTCAAGACTATGGACTGATCTGTACTCGAAAAAAGTGTTGGATTCACTTGAATCGAGGAATAATCAGTAAAAAACATGTTGTTTTTGTATTGTGAACTGGACTGGACTACTTTTTTAGAGTCCATGGACTGAAAAAACTGTTTTCATGGACTCGGACTGGACTAGATTTCTTTAGTCCATGGACTGGACTAGATTTCTTTAGTCCATGGACTGGACTAGATTTCTTTAGTCCATGGACTGGACTAGATTTCTTTAGTCCATGGACTGGACTGGACTAGACTGATCTCAGAATTCTGAGTTCATACGGAAGTCTGATTTCTACCTCTTATATAAAAATATACATCAACAAAAAATCACGAGTTGGATACATCCGACTTTCTCGGTAGAGATATGGAGAAACTTAAGAATGGGTAGAATATAGAAAGTGACCTGTTTTGCAGATTGATTTTTTTCGTCCGATAGCGCAGATCATAAGCAGTCCGATAGTGGAATACGGTCAAAAGTTGTGACAAAGTCAGAGGCTACACTAATAGTCGTTGATTTTCTTCCTGTCCTTTGTGCAAAGGGTATCAAAACTAGAAAAGAAGTGTATTTCGTTAAAATGTTTATGTAGGGGTTTACAAATAATCATTTCGGCGGCTTTACTAATATTACTGTGAATGATTATTGTTTTCAAGATGCGAGGAGATAAGGGTGAGTAAGAAGAACCGAAGATCTTAACATCTGAATATCTAAATGTCCAAATATCTAACATTTGAATATCAGAATATCTGAATATCTTAAACATCCAGATATTATGTTAATTGCAGATGTTCACAAATCAGATCGTTCTCGATGTGATCTGAATGAAGTCAAGTTAAACATAAACAAATGAAAATGGATTCTATGTTCAAACTCTACTAAAACGCTTCCTTCACTCACTCTTTCAATAAATAACACATATAGAAAGAGTTTTGTCTCTAAAGCTTCTTGGCATTATTGTTTCATAAAGTTTAATGTGGAAAGCGCACATTGACTATGTTGCAACAAAATCTCGTCAAATGTTAAGCTCTATAACATTATACGAGATTTAAATTAATTCATGACTGTTATTTATTTTACTTCTCTATGTATATGTATAAAGAGATTCATCTTGGATTAAAATTTTTAGTTTTAGGTTATTAGAGGATATCCACGGACATCCCAAGTCTTTTGTACTTTTTTTGTGATATCCCACCTTTACGTAAATACAATTCATTCACAGGGTCGATAAGAGGCAAAATCGGTCTCCCACAGATCAGTCTTATATTAACCGATCTGATGTAGTTTTTGTCCGCGATTAATCCTAACATATTTTTAGACTTTAAAAATCCTTTTCAGTGCCTCTTGGAAACATTTTCGCAAAAAAGCTTTTCTCTCGTTAAATGAACTTTACTCAGAGTATTTTCATTATTCCATCTCTTTTGTCTAGTGCAAGTATCAACTATTATATACCATTCGATAGAGAATTTCACAGGCTACGTAATGAGATATAATGTATTCTTTCAAATCCTAATTTTGTCAGATTTATTGGCAAGATAGGCAACGAATGCAGTAATTTTGACCTATTATAGAATGATGAATGAGATACAGTGTTATATACAAAATCAGACTCGAAATGCTTATGATATAGAAAAATGCAGAATTTAAGAAGTTTCAAATTGAAATACATTAGATTTTTTAGAAATTATGCCGTCAAGCATTTATATACTGAACAGTATATGACTGTCCTGACTTTTATTTACGGGACTTTCAAAACTATTGGGCGTTTATTTTCAGTTTTTCTCCTCGAAGGTCATAACTACAACAAATCTGAATAAAGATTTGCATGGCTCAAGGACTTTACAATTTGGTCTGTCGCAAATAAAGATTTCATTAAAGTTTCTGCAATCCAGCTTTTGGGAAAATCCAAATCCTAGAAAACTAAGTCCACGATTTCGAGTGATACTTTGTTTGTAACAGCCTGCCTTATCGTGTACAGACAACATTCCTAAACAAATCAAGACGCCTCTGAGTTCTCTACAGCACTGTTTCATCCGACAGCATTCAATTTGAGAAAAACCCCAAGTTACCAAAATTAGCGAAATTAATCGGAAAACAGGAAAAATGTCTTTCATTTTTTTCCGTAAGTCTAACAAACAATTTGAAAGAATGTGTTATAGCTCATCTGGTAGTCCTTTCCATTCTACGCTTTTCAAATATATAAACTATTTCTAATCTCTATCTGTGGAAGAAGCTATAATCATTTTTATGTGCCACTATAGGAAAAAAATCAAGACACCTGTCAGATATTTGTCCAATACATTTACGAAGACACTTTTAAAATAATGTTTTATAACTCATTTTGAGCCCGTGAAACTTTCTATCGAACGGTATATAATAGTTGATACTTGCACTAGGCAAAAGAGATGGAATAATGAAAATACTCTGAGTAAAGTTCATTTAACGAGAGAAAAGCTTTTTTGCGAAAATGTTTCCGAGAGGCACTGAAAAGGATTTTTAAAGTCTAAAAATATGTTAGGATTAATCGCGGACAAAAACTACATCAGATCGGTTAATATAAGACTGATCTGTGGGAGACCGATTTTGCCTCTTATCGACCCTGTGAATGAATTGTATTTACGTAAAGGTGGGATATCACCACCGCCCCTTGTGACGAATGATGTGGTACTGAAAGCGCGTACATGTGTTTTATAATCGAAAACAATATCAGCAATAAGGGTTGCCGCTTTGCCACTTCACTTCTCATATTAGTGTTTTTTGTTGACGTGAAGCAAACGGTTATAGTGCGTACAAATGTTGCTTAAAGTTGACCGTTTTTTCCAGTTTTATATAGATAGCATGAACGATGTGACCATCCATACGCAGTGTAATAAGAGTTAGACGAATTAGTCATTTGTTTCTCTTACACAGTAATTCTCTCCAAATTTTAGTAAAAAAATCGAAACTTGCTATTTGGTTTTTTTGCCAAACTATATATGTTTTTCCACTATCGTAATCTCATCGTAATCTCACGATCGTACAAATATCCCTGAATATCCTAAAAATAACGTTCTTCTTTTTAAGATAACAGCCTCGCTTTTTTTACAAATACAAATGCTGGATTTCCTTGATTTTTAGATTATTTTAGAAATTTTCGAAAGATAGACATTTTCCTAAGAATTATATTGACCCAGCGACATACAGGAAAGTAATACCTGAGGACACTTCAGTATGTCGTGTCACAGAAAGAAAATATATGATGACCCTCAATCCAGCTATGAGCGATTGACACAGTTAAACTTGTACTACTGAAAAACAAAAAGCAAAAATTGAAGTAAAAAAACAAAAAACAAATTTTATTCACATTTTATGAATAAGCAAGCGATATTAACAAAAGACAAACATGTGATTAGAGCCGGTCAAACTGATTTGTTAGAGTCTGTCACTATGTCATAAAAGTAATGTAAGTGAGATTTTATCATTATCGCAAAATCGATTTTTTATACGCTGAACAGAATCGCTCCAGATTTTTTT